TTTCGGGGCTCCCAGGTGCGTTTTCGGGGCTCCTACCAGCAGGCAGTGCACGAACTCGGGCCCTCCCACGAGGGCGGTGAAGGTGCCGAGCTGCTCGGCCAGCGCCAGCAGCACCTCGTCCTCATCGTAAATGGTGTCTGTGACATCACAGGTGACACACCTGTCACTCACCTGTCACTCACCTGTCCCCCCCACACCCATCAATCATCCCCCAGGCCCCGCCCACCGCCCCAAACCCCGCCCACACAACCCCACGGGGAGATTTGGGGCCGTTTTTGGGAGCGGTTTTGGGACCTCCCTGGGTTTCCTCACGCCCCCCCCCCTCCCCCACCCCAGATTTTGGGGACATTTCCCCGAATTTTGGGAGCCCTCCAGGTACCGGTGAGGAAAGGGAGGAGCTCGCTGCGGGTTCGCTCCACGCCCAGCGCCAGCGCGATGGTCGACAGCTTCTTGATGCTGTTGAGCCGCAACTGGGACGGGAAAAAGTGGGAAAAACTTCAGGAAAATTTGGGGGAAAAACCCCCAAAACCGGGAAATTGCCCTCTTTTAAGGCAAACCCCGCCCCCCGACGCGACGCAGCCAATCAGCGGCGGCGTCTCACGGCACAGCAGCAGAGAGGAGCGCCCCGATTGGCTCGGAGAAGCCGCGCCCACGCCGCCGGCAGCCAATGGAGAGCGGCGCTGCCTCGGCCTCGCGCTGCCATTGGCTGGCGCCGGGAAGGGGGCGGGGCGGACCCCGCGCTGCCCCGCCGCTAGGGGGCGCTGTGGAGAGCGGGGTGGATTCCCTCCCCCTCAGCGCGCTGCGGACCAATCAGAACGCGCCTAACAAAACCAAGCCGACCCGCCAGCCAATCAGAGCGCGCCTTTCACCTCAATTCCCCCCCCCCCCAAAAAGGGGACCAACGCTGCCCCACACATATAACGCCGCCTCCCATTCGCCCGCGCCTGAGGGGACCGGGCCGCCTCAGCCAATCAGCGCGGCCGTCTCATGGCGGCCATCAGCAGCGCGGCCGCGGCGAGCGGGCGATGGCGGCCGGGCCCCGAGGAGCGCGGAAGGGCCCCGAGGAGCGCGGGGAGGCCCGGGGGTGTCGCGGCGAGGCGCCGGCAGCGGTACCTGCACGTCCTCGTTGCGGAGCTCGTCGATGAGCACTGCGATGGGGTAAAGCGAATCGTCGCCGTCCGCCGCCGCCATCTTCGCCGCCGCCGCCGCCGCCCCGGCTCTGAGGGGCCGTACGGGGCCGCCCGCCCCGCTCCTGCAGGGTTTCCGCGGCGCTGATTGGCCGGCGCTGCCGCAGCGCCCGCCCCCCGGCTCTTCCCATTGGTGCAGGGCGCCGTCTGTCAGCTCAAGCCCGCCCCTGCGGAGGGGGGCGCTGCCTCGCGCTCCGATTGGGCGACGCGTTTGATTGGCAGCTCGGAGGGGGCGGGGTCAGGCGTTGCTGGGCAACGCGGAGCCGCCGTGTTGGAGGCCGGGAGGAACTGGGACGAACTGGGACGAACTGGGAGCGGACTGGGACGAACTGGGAGCCGCTGGATCGTGTTGGGACAGACCGGAATCCCCTGGAGCCCGACTGGGAGCCGCTGGGTTATACTGGGAGAAACTGGGACCCACCAGGACGCGAACTGGGAGCCGCTGGGTTATACTGGGACAAACTGGGACGCACTGGGACCCCTGCCAGTGCCAAACTGGTTTATACCGGGTCGCGCCCGCAGCGAAAAACCATCAAAAACCAGTTAAAACCAGTAAAACTGGGCCAGGATGTGGCCCCGCCCCCGCCCCGGTTAAGCCCCGCCCCTTCCAAACTGAACGCGGTGACGTCATCGACTGGCCACGCCTTTATTGGGGGTGGGGGAAGGCACTGGGGGGGCCTGGGCCAGACTGGAAGGCACTGGGAGGGACTGGGAGGGACTGGGAGGGACTGGGAGGGAACTGGGAGGGAACTGGGAGGGACTGGGATGGACTGGGATGAACTGGGATGGACTGGGAGGGAACTGGGAATGAACTGGGAGGGAACTGGGATGAACTGGGATGGACTGGGAGGGAACTGGGAATGAACTGGGATGAACTGGGATGAACTGGGATGAACTGGGAGAGCACCAGTGCGCTGCTCCAGGCCAGGAAGGCACCGGTTCAAACTGGGACGGGACCAGTCAAAAGCCAGCTGGGCCAAACTGGGGAGAACTGGGACCGGACTAGAACCAACTGGGACCAACTGGGACCAACTGGTTCTTACTGGGACCAACTGGAAGAATCAACTGGACCCAACTGGACGCAACTGGACTCAACTGGGACCAACTGGGACCAACTGGAACCAACTGGACCCAACTGGAACCAACCAGAACCAACAACTGGAACCAACTGGGACTAACTGGTGGAACTCGAATCCAACTGGAACCAACTGGAACCAGCAACTGGGCCCAACTGGAACCAACTGGGATCAACTGGAACCAACTGGGATCAACTGGAACCAACTGGACCCAATTGGAACCAACTGGACCCAACTGGGACCAACTGGTCCTTACTGGAACCAACTGGAAGAACCAACTGGACCCAACTGGTTCTTACTGGAACCAACTGGAAGAATCAACTGGACCCAACCAGACCCAACTGGACTCAACTGGGACCACCTGGGACCAACTGGAACCAACTGGACCCAACCAGAACCAACAACTGGAACCAACTGGGACTAACTGGAACCAACTGGACCCAACTGGTTCTTACTGGAACCAACTGGAAGAACCAACTGGAACCAACTGGACCCAACTGGTTCTTACTGGAACCAACTGGAAGAACCAACTGGAACCAACTGGACCCAACTGGTTCTTACTGGAACCAACTGGAAGAACCAACTGGTTCTTACTGGAACCAGCAACTGGAACCAATAGGAACCAACTGGACCCAACTGGGACCAACTGGAATCCACCGCACCCAACTGGACCCAACCAGAACCAACAACTGGGATCAACTGGGACCAACTGGAACCAACTGGGCCCAACTGGTTCTTAATGGACCCAACCGGACCCAACCGGACCGGCCCGTCGCGGCGGTGGGCGGGGCTCAGATGCGGCCGCTGTGCCTCAGTTTCTCCAGCAGCGCCTCCACGCTCTCCACCTTCTCCCCGGCGGCGCGGGGCGGCGGCTCCTGCACCTGCAGCACCTTCAGGCGGGCGGGGCCGCCGGCCACGCCCAGCTCCGCCGCCGGAATCACCTCCAGGGGCTTCTTCTTGGCTTTCTGCGGAATTCCGGGAATTTGGGGATTTGGGGGATTTTTTGGGATTTTTTGGGGATTTTTTGGGTTTTTTTGGGGGTTTTTTTGGGGATTTTTTGAGGATTTTTTGGGGTTTTTTGGGAATTTTTTGGGATTTTTTGGGGATTTTTTGGGGTTTTTTTGGGGATTTTTTCGGATTTTTTGGGGATTTTTTGGGGTTTTTTTGAGATTTTTGGGGGGTTTTTTGGGGTTTTTTGGGGGATTTTTGGGGGGTTTTTTGGGGGATTTTTTCGGAATTTTTGGGG